CATAGCAAAATGGAGAGTACACATATGACATGTACGTAACACCATATCTAACTTAAAGGGTTATGATGCAGCAATCATCAATCACATATTATAATGAAGGTAATTACGAGAAAACACTTTTATATCGTCGAGTTAAAAAGTTTACATAAAGGGGTAAAATAGGGGGATTGAGTATGAAGGTGATGAGAAGATGGTGGGTGTGGGGAGGAAGGCGAAGTGTTATCGAGTAGAGACTATAAGTTAAGGAAAGAAGGTGAGGTTGTGACATAAATGAAGTAGTCTGAGGTTGGATGCGTGAGATGTACATAGATGTCAACTGATATCCACCACTAGCATACAAAGGTGGATAACTAAAAAAAATAAATGAGGGCAGGAGAACGGGGGCTGGATAGAAGGATAATAGATAAAAGGGGAGAAGTACTAGAATATGGAAGAAGAAGAAGGGGACTGAAGAGAGAGGGAGAGCAAAAGAACTAAAGGTGTGAGGGGGGAAAAGAGGAAGCTGGTGGATTGGCTGAGGTTCAAGATGGGAAAAGCGAAAGACGAGCCAGGGAACAAGAAGAGGAGGGGAATGGAGTATAAATTAAGAGGGGGTATTACCCCGGGACCCAGATAAGCTGGAGAGAAATGGAAGAAGGATAGAGTAAAAGGTGTAGGAGTTGGATTTGAGTTCGAGAAAGAGTAGTGGCTTGATTGGGAGCAAAAAGGCGGGAGGTCAGTGGCTTCGGGTTCCACGAGGAGTGGTGTAGGTATAGGGGGGTGTACAGCTGCAGTTGCCTGGTATTCGTTTATGGTATATGTTAGTAGCTAGTGCACGAATGACCCAGTGTTGGGAGGCCTATCGTGGGGTCAGGTCAAAGTTGAAGACAAAGAGAGAAATAGATTGAAGAGAGAAGAAGAGGCAAATAGAAAAAGAATACTACACATCGGCAGCATACCATACTTAACCAAAATCAGCTGATTATTATGAGAGTAGTACCATTGCAGCCGGACATGTGAGAGGTTTCATAGAGCGGCTTAAGAGGCTGAGATCCTGGAGAAAAAATGCCTGCTCCTGTGCGGAGAGGTATCCTGTAATGTAGGACTTCCAATTTCAGAGGTTGAAGGCACATGTGGAGTTGAAGCCTGATAGTAGTTGGTCAGCTGTAAAGGCATTGTCAAAGTGTAAGGGATTTCCAGCAAGAAGAATCGCGATCGGGAACACGCATGCGCATAGGAATTCCCGCAGAAGAATTGCCGGTTGTGCGCATGCGCGCAGGAATGCGCGATTGCGCACACGCATGCGCACGTGCACACGCACGGCAAAGATTGGCACCAGATGGCCCATTTAAGAAGTGCCTTTGCTCAGGTTCAGTTCTGACTGGTCTTCAGCTCCCCCCGTGTCCTGCTTGTTCCTGTACGATTCCTCCCTTACCAGCCTGGCTTGTTCCTGACCCGAATTCGATTACTCTCCTGTTACGGTTCCTGACTTTGGCTCTGCTCCTGACCTTGGCTTTTCCTTCTGATTCTGTACCGCGCTGCCCGACTGTTGATGACCCGGCTATTCCATGACTCTACTCCAGTCTCTTGTCCTCACTACCTGCCTTGCTCTGCTGCACATCTGGCAATCCACAGAACCTGCTCTGTCTATTATTACGGTGTCCAAGTCAGAGGATCATCTGCCTTTCAAGGTCATCATCTGCAAGAGCTGCAAGCAACAACCACTGGCGCTCTTGTCCCCCTGGTCCCTAGACTCCCTCTGTTCCAACATCAGCGGGGTCAGGGCTAGTGACACAAGTGAGGCCGACCTCGTCAATTCAGTCTCCCTTCAGGTACGTGACACAAAGTCTTTGACCCAGGATTTCGCAGAGTTGTATGCCTCGAAGGGTGTCGCGTACAGAAGATTCAGAGGTCTATATATGTTTGATATTTTGTATTTTCGAGAGTTTGCCAAGACATCAATTAATGTCGTACAGAATATAGTGGATTTAAGTTGCTCAACAGAGTTGACAAAGTTCCTTACTTGTAGCATATAGAACAAATGGTGTGATGGTAGTTCATAGGTTTGTAGGAGGCTGTTAAGAGGCTTTGAGGAACCCATAGAGGTGTCATATAGGTGTTGTACCAAAGTTAATTCATGAGCGAACCAGGTTTCATAGGCTGCATAGGATTGTGGGGGAGAGAAGGAGGGGTTATGATGGATAGGAAGGAAACGAGAGAGCCATGGAGAGATCCCCAACTTACGTCTGACTTCACGCTATGTAATAAGGGTATCGCGAATGAGCGAGTTATGTTTTAGATGAGGTGGGAGAGAGTTTACATTTGAATGTAGAAGGGCTGAGAGATCATAGGCATGTGCGCTATAGCAGACTCAATATGATAGTTGGAGTATTTGGAGGATTGGGTGAGCTAGTCTAGGCATATACGAAGCAGACATGAGAGGTTGTAGACTCGTGCATTTGGAAGGCGGAGCCTCCTTCGCTTCATGGCAGAAATAATTTAGAAAGTGCTATAAACGCAGAGAAATTTTTTAAATTGCCCGGTCTGCTTCCTTCCACTATGTTTAAGGAGAAGAGGTATAGTCTGGAGCAGATAGAGAAGTATAGGGAAGCTCACCATCTTGAAAAGATGCGATCTGCCAAGAGTGAGAGCGGTAGATTCTTTCACATCTACAATTCTCCAATAATTTTACTAATCGTGGGCGTATAGTTAAGCGTGTATAGAGATGATGCTAGTTTCCCTATCTTTATGCCTAGGTAGGTGATGTGCTTAGTTGCTATTCTAAATATCAAATTTTTGGACCACACAGGAGTGGTGGGTATGGAATAGTGGAAGCATCTCACTCTTTAGAGAAATTTATACGGAGCCCTGAGCAGAGGCGGAAGGTTGAAAAAATATTTTGAATGTATGGAAAATCGAGAGACGGGTGCGAAGTAAAAATTAAGATGTCATTTGCAAATAAAGCGACTCTCAATTCTTGTTGCCCAATTGTGATTCCATGAAGGTCAGAGTGGAGCAGTAGGAAACGTGCTAAGGGTTCCAGTGCCAGGTTGAAGAGTAAAGGGGATAAAGGGCATCCCTGTCTGGTGCCCTTATGAAGTCGAATGGGGTTGGATATATGACCTGCCACTAGGACATGGGCTATTGGTGAGTACATGGCTTGGATCAGATGCATGAAAGGGCCCTCAAAACCACATTTCCGTAGTGTTAAGAAAAGCCATTCGAAATTGACATTGTCGAAAGCCTTTTCAGCGTCTAGTGAGACAATTGCTGCATCTCGGGGTGAGCCATTAGCGGCCTGATTCAGGACCTATATCACCTTACGAATATTTGACACCGCCGAGCGATCCTGCATGAAATCCGCTTGCAAAGGATGAATGAGAGTGGGTAGTATAGTGGCTAAGCGAAAGGCGGCGATTTTTGGTAGAAGTTTTGCGTCTAAGTTCAAGAGGGATATTGGCCGATATGATCCAGGGTCCGTTGGGTCTTTATCTTTTTTGGCAATAAGTTTAATGTGAGCTTGAAATCCAGAGGGAAGGTAGTCCTCTCCCCCCTGGATTGATTGGAACACTGATTGTAAGGTAGGGGAAAGAGTTTCGGCCATTAGTTTGTAAAATTCGGCTGTATAGCCATCAGGTCCGGGGGCTTTACCGATCGTGAGGGATTTAATGACTAGGGAGATATCTGATTGAGATATTGGGGCGTTCAGGGATTGGAACGCGGTTGAGTCCAAATGCGGTAGTGAGATGTGGTCTAGGAAGGAGGTGGCCCAAGCGATGTCTATAGGGTCTGAACCATATAGATTTCAGTAGAAATTTTCTAAAATGGAAATAATGTCTTTAGGGTTGCTTTTTAATATTCCCTGGGAGTCCTCAGGGACGCAAAGAGGGTGGGTATAAAAGTTTTTTTGCACAGCCGTGCTAACAGCTTGCCCGGCTTGTTACCAAATTTGTGAAAATTCAAGTCACTATGAGATTGGTACAGAGCCTTTTGAGCTGCTGCCCAGGTATTAAATTGTTGTTTGGCCTCTGACCAAGCTTTCCTGTTTTCATGAGAGTTAAGATTCACTACGTCTTTCTGTGTCTGTCTTAGAAGGTGGCTTGCCTTTGTGTATTTTCGGAGAAGGTTTCTCTTGTAGGTGGAGGTAAAAGCTATGATTCTACCACGGAGGACCACCTTGCCTGTTTCCCAGAACAGGTTGGGATTTGTTTGGTGAGCTGTGTTTGTATCGCAGAACACCGACCAGGTATTATTCAACACTCAGAGTAAGTTCTGATTATTTGCCAGGAAAGATGGGAAGCGCCATGTCTGTGAGTATTGGTTATGTTGTGTGTGTTGTAGGGATATAGAGATCAGAGAGTGGTCTAAGATCGCAATGTCATGTATATTAGAGTCTGTGATGCTTTGTAGTAAGATGGGATTGGAGATCTATCTATATATCCATTCAGTCGTACCCGACCCTTGGCGATTGGATGGACCGTCACTCGTAAGTGACTTTTTCCATGAATTCTCTTAGCAATTATTTTTACAGGGTAGGTTGCCAGGTCTTTCCCCAACCCCTACCATGCAGGAGATCCTGCATGGCCAGGGATGAAACTAGGACAATTTATACAGAAGCCAATTAACCTACCAGCATGTCTTTGGAGTGGAAACCGGAGCAAACCCACATGAACACAGGGAGAACATGCAAACTCCATGCAGGAGGCGCCATGGTCGGGAATCGAACCCAGGATCCAATTACTGCAAGGCAGAAGTGCTAACCACTAAGCCACTGTGCCGCCCCTGGGATTGGAGAAGAAGTAGTCAATTCTTGATAGAGTGTGATGGACAGGGGAGAAGAAAGTAAAGTCTCTTCCTTCTGGATGGGCCAAACGGAGCTACCCGGTCAGCGTAGTTAAGATATTTGACAATTATAGAACGTGGCGTGCGTCTATCATTTGAGGGTGCACCTAAGCGGTGTGCCCTTTCGACTTGGCAAGGTGTCGAGATGCCCAGCACAGCGGGAATGCGTGTAGAACAGATGTCAGGCAATGAGCCTGAGTTGTAGGATTCTGGGAGGCCTACGATGCACAGGTTGTTCGTATAAGACGACCCCTCTTCCAATGCACACCAGTGGAAGGAATGGTGCCCCATCATTGGTGTCAGTGGGAGGAATAGTGCCCCATCATTGGTGTCAGTGGGAGGAATGGTGCCCCATCATTGGTGTCAGTGGAAGGAATGGTGCCCCATCATCGGTGTCAGTGGGAAGAATAATATTGGTGTCAGTGGGAGGAATAGTGTCATCATTGGTGTCAGTGGGAGGAATAGTGCCCCATCATTGGTGTCAGTGGGAGGAATAGTGCTCCATCATTGGTATTAGTGAGAGGAATAGTGCCCCATCATTGGTATTAGTGGGAGGAATAGTGCCCCATCATTGGTGTCAGAGCGACGAATCCTGCCCCATCATTGGTGTCAGTGGGAGGAATAGCACCCCATCATTGGTGTCAGTGGGAGGAATAGTGCCCCATCATTGGTATCAGTGGCAGGAATAGTGCCCCATCATTAGTATCAGTGGGAGGAATAGTGCCCCATCATTGGTGTCAGAGCGACGAATCCTGCCCCATCATTGGTGTCAGTGGGAGGAATAGCACCCCATCATTGGTGTCAGTGGGAGGAATAGTGCCCCATCATTGGTATCAGTGGCAGGAATAGTGCCCCATCATTAGTATCAGTGGGAGGAATAGCACCCCATCATTGGTGTCAGTGGGAGGAATAGTGCCCCATCATTGGTATCAGTGGCAGGAATAGTGCCCCATCATTAGTATCAGTGGGAGGAATAGTGCCCCATCATTGGTGTCAGTGTGAGGAATAGTGCCCCATCATTAGTATCAGTGGGGGGAATAGTGCCACATCTTTGGTGTCAGAGCGACGAATCCTGCCCCATCATTGGTGTCAGTGGGAGGAATAGCACCCCATCATTGGTGTCAGTGGGAGGAATAGTGCCCCATCATTGGTATCAGTGGCAGGAATAGTGCCCCATCATTAGTATCAGTGGGGGGAATAGTGCCCCATCTTTGGTGTCAGTGGGAGGAATAGTGCCCCATCATTGGTATTAGTGGGAGGAATAGTGCCCCATCATTGGTATTAGTGGGAGGAATAGTGCCCCATCATTGGTGTCAGTGGGAGGAATCGTGCCCCATCATTGGTGTCAGTGGGAGGAATAGTGTCCCAACATTGGTGTCAGTGGGAGGAATAGTGCCCCATCATTGGTGTCAGTGGGGGGTGGAGGAATAGTGCCCGATCATTGGTGTCAGTGGGGGGGGAGGAATAGTGCCCCATCGTTGGTGTCAGTGGGGGGAGGAAAAGTGCCCCATCGTTGGTGTCAGTGGGAGGAATAATGCCCCAATGATGGGGCACTATTCCTCCCACTGACACCAATGACACTTGCTCACCCCTGTTCCAGTATGGTGCTGCTGCAGCCAGCATATGTGGTTGCAGCAGCACCTCTGTACGGCACACTTACCGGCCGCTCCTTCACTCGATTTTCACGAGGCCGCTCGGCTCCGCCTCCTCGCCGGTGATTGGCCGCCTGTGTGCCTGGCGGCCAATCACTGGTGAGGAGGCGGAGCCGAGCAGCCGCGCGAACATCCAGTAGCCGAACCAAATGAAGGAGCAGCCGCGCTTCCTGGACCGGATCGTCGTGGGGCCGGAGCCAGGTAAGAAACAGCAGCCCCTGCCCACCCCTGTACTTAGTGTCCCTTGGAAGGGGGGGGGGGCAGCGGCACCGCCCCCCTAAAAAGTGTCAGCATGCCGTATACCGGCGTATAAGACGACCCCCGACTTTTGAGAAGATTTTCAAGGGGTAAAAAGTCATCTTATACGCTGGAAAATACGGTAAATATTTTTTGTAATCCTGGATGTAGTTTTATGTCCTGAAGTGTATAACAATATACCGTATTTGCCGGCGTATAAGACGACTTTTTACCCCTTGAAAATCTTCTCAAAAGTTGGGGGTCGTCTTATACGCCGGTATACGGCATACTGACACTTTTTAGGGGGGCGGCGCGGTGCCACCGCCGCCCCCCCCTTCCAACGGAAGGGACAGTAAGTACAGGGGTGGGCAGGGGCTGCTGTTTCTTACCTGGCTCCGGTCCCACGACGATCCGGTCCAGGTAGCGCGGCTGCTCCTTCAGTTCGGCCACTGGATGTTCGTGCGGCTGCTCGGCTCCGCCTCCTCATCTGTGATTGGCCGCCAGAACTGTAGCTCAGGAAAGGCACACAGGCGGCCAATCACCGGCGAGGGGGCGGAGCCGAGCGGCCCCGCGAAAATCGAGTGCAGGACCAGCAGGTAAGTGTTCAATGTAGAGGTGCTGCTGCAACCACATATGCTGGCTGCAGCAGCACCATACGAGAACAGGGTCAGCAAGTGTCAGTAGGAGGAATAGTGCCCCATCATTGGTGTCACTGATACCAATGATGGAGCACTATTCCTCCCAATGACAACAACGATGGGGCACTATTCCTCCCACTGACACCAATGATGGGGCACTATTCCTCCCCCCCTACTAACACCAATGATGGGGCACTATTCCACCCCCCACTGACACCAATGATGGGGCACTATTCCACCCCCCACTGACACCAATGATGGGGCACTATTCCACCCCCCCACTGACACCAATGATGGGGCACTATTCCCCCCACTGATACTAATGATGGGGCACTATTCCTGCCACTGACACCAATGATGGGGCACTATTCCACCCCCCCACTGACACCAATGATGGGGCACTATTCCTCCCACTGACACCAATGATGGGGCACTATTCCTGCCACTGATACCAATGATTGGGCACTATTCCTGCCACTGATACCAATGATGGGGCACTATTCCTCCCACTGACACTAATGATGGGGCACTATTCCTGCCACTGACACCAATGATGGGGCACTATTCCTGCCACTGATACCAATGATGGGGCACTATTCCTCCCACTGACACCAATGATGGGGCACTATTCCTGCCACTGATACCAATGATGGGGCACTATTCCTGCCACTGATACCAATGATGGGGCATTATTCCTGCCACTGATACCAATGATGGGGCACTATTCCTGCCACTGATACCAATGATGGGGCACTATTCCTCCCACTGGTGTGCATTGGAAGAGGGGTAGTCTTATATGGCGAGTATAGCCCAAACACTACATTTTAGCAGGAAAAGTAGGGGGTCGTCTTATACGCCGGCAAATACGGTAGTTTAACTCACTGTGTAATAAATATTTAACTTTAACCATTTGAGCCCCAGGCCAGTTCTGACAATCTTCTCCAACATGTATTTTCGCAGTAATTTTTGGGGAACAGCTACACTTTAATGAATTTTAATGCACAATATAATAACCAATTGTTTGGTAAAATACTAAAGATGATGTTAGGCTGAGTAAATAGATACCTAACATGTCACACTTTAATATTGCATAGGCTCATGGAATGGCAACAAACTACGGTACTTAAAAATCTCCATAGGCAAAGCTTTAAGAGCATTTAAAAGATACTCGTTTAGAGTTACCGTTTACATATGTGTGCATGGTCTATGAATGTGTTTGTCTTTGCATGCAAACTTGGGGGATGGGGGCGCTTTAATCTTATTAAATGTATATTTTTACATTATCACTTTTTTTAGCCACTTGCATGGCTATCACAAGTTATGAACAATATCCCTCGTCGTAGCTGGAGCAGTGACAGGTCCTCTTTATGGAGAGATCTTGGGTCTAATAGACCCCATATTTCTCCTCTGCCCTTCAAAAGCATTGGATTAAACTCAGATCAGTTTGATCTGATGCTTTCACAGGCTGGTAAAGGTCTGTTTATATTACACTGAAACCGGAAGTGACAACATACTTGTTGCTTCTAGTTTCTCAGTCCATAATGATGAGCGGGGACATTCCAGTCTTTGGTCATCTCAATGGTCACCTGGCAGAACTGTCCGCTTCACTCCCGGGCTCCCTGGTGGGATTAGAGAGCCCGGGAGTGTGGCAGAAGGTAGTGGGGGGACCCCTTACTGCCACCTGCAAAATCAAGCTGCAGGCATCATCCTGGTACAGGGGTAGGCAACCTGCGGCTCTCCAGCTGTTGCAGGACTACAAGTTCCATCATGCGTCTGCAAGTCATAGCTGTAACTGTCAGTTTTGTAATGTTGCAATGCCTCATGGGAAATGTAGTTCCACAACAGCTAGAGAGCCGCAGGTTACCCCTGTCCTGGTATAACAACTTCAACCAGACGATGTACGACAGAACTGCCCATGCCTGGGTATATCCAACCTACACACATTAGGAGATTTTTGCAGAATACAGATAAAAGTGCTTGAAATGTGTAAAATTTTAATCCAGGACATATAAATTTATGGTAATCTTTTTCTGTCAGCAGTGAAGGTACTTGTGGTTTAGCAGCCCGTATGCTGCTTGGAGACTTGGAGCAATAAATGCTTATTGTGACATCTTCCCATCACCACATTGAGGGACGATATACACCAGTCCATGAACCAGAACTATTTCACGGTGTATGACAAAAATTATCAGTAAGAAGGATGTCAAAAACAGAAAGGTCTATTAACCTCCCTGGCGGTCTGATTATTTCCGATTTTTGGTGCTGAAAGCGGTACCATTATTTTGCATGGAAATATGTATTTTTTTATTGTAGGCTGTAATTTTTAGGAATAACTCCCTGAAATCTGTCTGAACAAGAGTCTAGTAAACATCCCGAGTAGGATAAAATTTGAAACACAAAATCATAAATTATAATTTAATAAATAATCATAAAAAAATAATAATATAATAATAATAAATTTAATTCAATAATATAATCAAACCAAAAACACTGAAATTTGAAATATAGCGCCAAGTTCGCACATCGCTGAGCAAAGTCGCAAAATCGTTTTCAGTGTCTGATGAGGAATTTCCCCCACGAATCATTATCACTCAATTCTGCAAGTGGTTCTGATTTACTATCGCTGTTCTCTAGCCGGTCTAAAACCGCTTTTGACATAAAGGGACGCTTTTTGGACGCCGTGGACTTTTCTAAGTTTCCAGGCAGAAAGAACAGTCAAAATGCAGGCAGAGCGCCGGACAAAGCACTCGGGACAAAATGTATGTGAAATGTTTTGAAACAGCAATGTTTTACTATGTGATAATAATTTTAAAAAAATTACATTTTTAAAAAATTTCAAATTTGCCGCCGGTTCCGGCGCCCGTACGTCCCGACGTCACAGGGACCGGAACACAGAAGCCGGATGGAGGAGATGGCCGGAGGAGATGGCCGGGGACGCTGCAGGGGACACATCGCGGGAGCGAAGGACAAGGTAAGTGCTGCAGGGACTTCCTGAGTAACGCCGCATGGTAAGCCCGAGTGTAGCTCGGGGGGG